TGTAAGTAGGATTGACAGAGGAGGGAAAAGAAAGTTGAAGACAAAGCGTAGAGAGACTAAGAATGCAGGACTGTGGTTGTTGGTTTGAACCTGGTAAAACATTGTAGTGCTCAGTCTGGATGATGAGTTTGGCTCTGGTGTGTGTGTTCTGCAACAAAGGAGAAGGCAGAAATCAAACACTCTGTATTAATATCACCAGCTTTTCCTTCGCTTAAAAGCAGAATGTGTGACATTTTACACATAAATACAGCAGACATCAAGTATATCCTCTGTAAATGTCTCTCTGAGTCGTGGCGGTCTACAATGAGTGAGAAGCCTGAGTCCCGCTTTCTGTACTGTTGTTGGAGCCGTGTTTACAACATGTTTACATTGGCGGGACGGGGAAGGAAGGTGTCGCCAAACAGCAGTTTGTTTTAGTTTCATACTGGTGCTCAAGGCTGACATATATTGGATCAAAAAATCGCACATTCTTCCTTTTGACCAGAGTGTAAAAGAAATCCAGAGAGTCATATAGCACCACCGTGTAAGTATGTTACAGCAGACATGTAGCCCAAGTCACACCCAAAGTGAGATAAATAAATACTAATTGTGCCAAAACGACTTAAAGATCCCATATTTTGCCCTTTTTGGGGTTCGTATATTTAATCTATGTACCTACTTTTGTAAGTTCACAATAGCTTAAAAAAAAGTTTAAAAAAGTGTGTTTTCATGAACTGCTCCTCCTTGCTCCCTCTACGCTCTGAGTCCGTCAGCTGCACTCTGCTGAGCCCACACTGTTAGACCCCACGTGGGCCAAGTCTGCTCTGATTGGTCTGCCGATCCGCTCTGTTGTTATTGGTCAGTTACTCAGCACGCATCTCGGAAATTTCAACATGAGCTGCAGGGCTTGCCACAACGAGCCAATGGACTTAGATCAGTGATCTCACACTGACAATGACGCCGCACTGACAAAATTTTTATCGAGGGGGGCTAGAACCGTTAATCGCGTTAATCACTTCCACGCTAATCGCTAGCATGCTAATCACTGGCATGCCAGTCGCACTTACAACTTCTAAGCACAAGACATCAACTGAATCAAGGCGACTTACTTTACACTCGGGGACAGATCAGAACACACTGCAGGATATTCAGGCTAAAACTATGAAACAACTAAAAAGCTAGCTCTGAACACTATTTATATCTAGTGAAGACTGGGTTGCAGAAGGTGAGCAAACCTTCACTCAGACGACAGGGAGGAGCTGTGATGTCGTGAGACAGGGAGCCTTTGTTACAGTGGTACAGAAGAGAAATGAGAGAAAAGAGCTCTATAATTAGGAAGATGAATCATGTAAAGAATTTTGGAAAAAAAAAGGAACAAACCAAAAATGTATTATTATTATTTTTAAATTAGCCCAGAGGGATTGGAGGACAGTTTAGTTAATAGTGTTTTAGATTTGAGAAAAGGTAAAGAAATCTGATGACTTGTCTGAAATATTTATTGTGCTGTCACATTGACTGCCACTGTGTGTTTTTAACTTAAGAGCTGCCCGGTGTTTTTTTTCACTACAGTGTGGCGTCTGAGTGGAAGTCTTCTCCCTGCTGCTGCTGGGTCTGGAGAAAAACTGACCACTGCACGTGTGTGTGTTTGACTTTAGACAGTGGGTGTGAGTGTGCTCTGCTGTGTGTACCACAGGGGGGTTGGCCTGCTGCACCCCGCCCTGCTGACTCCTTTAAATAAGCAACACAGTGCGTGTTTGGACTGTAAGGAATGATGGCAACTCAGCGAGCTACCCCTGGGAATATATATATATTGTGTGTGTATTTTGTCAAGTGTGTGTAAGTGTGCACAAACTCACTAAAGCTTCCCTTTAACAACTGTTTTGCAGGCCCTAATGACAGGATATCCTCAACCACCCCTCCTTTATAATCATATTCTCTTTTTTTTTATTCCCCAGCAGTCTGTTATCGCGCTCACCTTCCCTGATTTTCTCACTTAGAACACATTGTTTATGATCTCAGAGGAGCTCATCGGAAAGCTAAAGGGTTGGTGTTATTAAAGCCTTAAGTTATTACCTGACAGAAATGATATGAGCTTACTGCAACCATTTGGCTCAATCCTTAGATTCTACAACCAAGAGAGTTTTAAACTCATTTGAGATGTGTTGCAGCAAATAGCACGTGCAGTAGGTGTGGGTTTCCACCAGTCGTTCACTAACGTGTAACGATTTTGAGTTTTTGAAAGTTGTAGTAAGATTAAGATGCATTCGTCCCAATTTTAACATTTCAGTGATGTAGGAGGAGGCAGTTTCTGAATACATCAGGCCTTAAAACAAGAAGTTCTGATGACGTTTACCAGAAGCTTTTAGTTTTTAGATTGGACTTCAGATCAAAAATAAGTTGGGCTGTGTTGTTTGGGGTTATTTAAACCAAATTTGATCCAGGAAGTCTAGTTTGAGTAATACAACAACTTAATTGAAAGGTCTGCTTTTGACTAAGAGGCAGGATTTTATGCCAAAGGAAAGTTTTTACTGTGATATTGTCTTTGACTGTGACCGCAACACGGTCGACACTAGCTATAAATCATTCAGGTTATAAAGTCATCAATCAGGTGAGCTTGCACATATTCATTGTGCGACACCTGAACATGATGATATCGCTTTGTGGTTTGGAAAAAAGTTGCGCAATTAATAATGATATCTGGAACCTGATTTTGAATGTTTGCTTGAATAACAACTTGCATCAAAATGATGCAGTTATAAGCAATGTTGGGATAGTTACTCCAAAAAGTAAGCATTACTTTTCTGATTACTCATTGTTCAAAGTAATTAGTTCCATTACTTTTGCACTACATTGTAACATCACCTGAGATGCACTGTCTCTTTGTTGAATACAAAGCGTCTCTCTTAGTACTTTCACACTTGCACAACATCCCACATAAACTTCTGAAGTTTTTTCGGGGTGATCTTCATGTGTGAAGTTTTCACTCAGACTTTATCCAGTTTCTGCTGCCAGTCCCCTAGTATTTAATCTGCAGAATGCCCGAGTGAGCTGATGTGGAAACACAGCAGGATATAATCCTGGAGAATTCACCTCGACTAGTGGAAAGGGGTGGTGATGTTTATTATCTTCGAGACTATCAAGAGACTGTATGCACGCATCACTAAAATCTGTGTGCACAATATTGCAACTGCTGCGTTACATTTTCAGCGTGATATTTTCTGTTCACTAGTATGTTGATTTTGTGATCCTGTCTGACTACACACAGCAAAAGGCAAATGTTCTCTTTATAGCATGATTAAGCAGATTCTGTAGCTTCGTATGCCAATTCCACGTCGTTCTTTTTGCGTCTTGCCTCCAGCAGCCCCCTCTACCGTCCAACAGGGGCAAATGTGAACAACTAGATCAGAAGGATTTCAGGAGAAGTTCTCCTGAAATTCTCTAGAAATGTTTAGGAGACCATATGTGAAACCCATACAGCAAGCCTTTTTGTCTCTGCTTTCGTCAATACCTAAAAATCAAACATCGGCTGTTTGGTTGGTATCAGCATCATGCTCTGATATCTTGCAGTGTTTCCCCTACCATTATATTAGCCCCCCCTGAAGGTCAAGTAAAAAAAAATAATAATTAATTAAGATTTATTTTTGGGCTTTTTGTGCCTTTTATTGTAGGGATATGATAGTGGATAGAGTCGGAAATCAGGGAAAGAAGTCATTTAAGGATACCTTTCCGATAGAAAAGGACATCTGTCATTAAAAGTAACGCATGAACACCAAGATTCCTTCAAGTGTTTGTGTCGTCGTGTCGCCGTGTCAGCATGTCGGCTTGTCCCAACCCCCCAATGCTGTAAACCTAGGGGAACACTATCTTGAGCTTCACTCAGGGTCTTGGGGTCTTTAGCTACTAGCTCTGTGTCAGTACGTTGCCTTTGCAGGTGTCGAGTTCACAGCAGTGGCACATTCTTGTCTTTTCGCCCAACGAATTTGAATTTGAATTTGTGTTTTTTGTGAATTTGAATTTGTGAATATCTCCAAGCCTCTAAAGATGTGTTGATTTGAACCGCTTTGCCATTTTCGTTTTCCTCCTCCATGGACTCAAGCCAATATCACGTGAGTAATGTCTTCTTCTTCTTTCCATTTTATGGCAGGTGGCACTCTGCTTTCAGGTGCATTACCTCCACCATGTGTGTGTTGAAGTGTGGACCAGAGTTGGTTTGAGTTATATTCTGATTCTGATACTGATTCAGACAAGTGATGCATTTAGGCGCACATCAAAGGGACAACTGATATGTTTTTCTGTTCTCCAGTTATGCAGATTCTGGTAGTGGAAGTACTTAAAGTAACGCAAGTTAAAAGATAGTCTTTGATTAGTAAGGAAGGGTAATGTGATTACTGAAGTTAGCGGTACTAATGCCTTAAATTACTGTGTTACAGACAATCATTATCTAACTACAGTTCCCCCAACACTAGTTATAAGAAAAGTTAACAACTGATTTCTGTGGATCATAAATGATTTAGCAGCATATTAGTGAAGTTCTATTAATGATATTGATATTTTACTCACAGGATTTAGTCAAATTATACATTCTTTATACGGACTAAGTGTTTTTAAAAAGTTCTTTTCTGCTCTGTCTTTCTTAGGAAAAGTCTTCCTGTGATCAGGAAGTATACATTTCCAGCATCAGATGCAGACATGGCAGCAGTTTGGAATTTAAAAAAGTACCTAAAAAAGTACTTTAAATGAAAAACAAAACAACAACCATGGCAGGACTGTTCACAAAGTTTAGTTGAGCTGTGGTGTCTCTAATATATCATCAGATTTTGGAAGAAATAACTCATTGTTTCCATTCCGTTCACATTACAGTTGCCTCTGTCACAGGTAGTGGAAATGACACTTACACATACAGAGTAATGAGAAGGTGTCAGGAAGGTCGTGTTAGTACAAGGAAAGGCTCTTCCTGCTCCTAGATAGAGGGGGTGGAGTCTTCCTGAGCAGTGGGAGGACTCTCATGTAACTGTTCATTTAGCTCCCACACAGCCAGCACACACACCACACTGCACTCATACCGGCACACTGGTTGTTGAGCTTGAGATCCTATAGCTGCTTCTTCCAGCGCACCTCACTACTCTGGTGCTTTAAAGTTTCACATTTCTTCTCTTCCTGTTTCCCTGAGACTCTGTTGAAGCTCTTCCTGCCTGGCTTATAAACATCATGTAAGTAAACTTTACCTTAGTGCTGTTTGAACAGATCTTAGCGCCTGCAGTGTGTGGACATGGGGCTGTGAATGTGTGTTTTAAAAAGGTGGGAGGGCTTGTTGCTCTGGCAGGTATCGACAGCAAACTATTACACTTCAGGGTGATGTTAGCTTATGTATTCTGTCAATATTACATGATTATCTGAATGTATTCAAGCCTTATTTTCTAGTAATACGTTAAAGAAAGGATGTTATGGGGGGCTCAGCTTTAGACTTTAATGTAACTGTTTATAAAGAATACAGAGCACCTGAAATACTGTGTTTTCATACAGGCAGCCATTGTCTCTTTCTGTGTCTCTGCCTGAGCTTCCTTGTCCTTGGGATAGAATGCCAAAATCTAAAAATACAGGTCTTGATTATAACATTTGGCAGCTCTGCTCTGTGACTATTTCCATTCTCTGAGTCCTCTCAGCTGTAAAAGGATGAGAAGCTGTGTGCCATGCTGACAAAATGGATTTAATGTATCAGTGACGTGCATGAAAGTGGGTTACATTTCTTCTGTTCTTGGATTTTCTTGACAGAACAACAGAACACAGTAGATGTTGTCATACCTCAGAACATACAAAGAACATCACTTTTAGACTGAAAAAAAAAACTAAGAGGAATATGACAGAAAAATAAATCAATGATCCGTGGCACACTGAAAATAACTTTTCTGTATTTTATTGTGAGCAAACAACGCGTTACACCTGTAGCTTCCTCAGATTCGCCCAGGTGTCATGGTATGTTAATGCAACTGTCGGCATCTGGGAACTAATAGGCTGTGCACGGGGTACCCTGTTGGCCATTTAGGAATATAACGGACTTAGTTCCACTCATGAATTACCCTGATCTGCTTCCAGCCTTTCAACTGAGCTTTAACTTGAGACTCTAGTGGGGGCAGCACAATTCAAACTCTCCAAAGAGGACAAAGAGTGAAACTTTGAAAAGTTGAGCAAACCATTCCAAAGGATGATGAATAATTACCTGTCTGTATAATCTCTGTAAATTAGTCGTAATAAAATTGTCTCAAAAAGATCACCCAACTGTTAACTGCTGTTAATCCACAAACAGCGATGAAAATGTTTACAAAATATGAGAAAGCATCTTTGTTAGGTGATAACAACAGCTACAACCTTAATCTACACCTAGAGTAAAGTAATAATAGTGTCATCAAGTGGCTAAATATTAAAATCAAAACACAAGGTCATTTAATGGTACTCCAATGGTTGTAATAATCTTCACTCATGGAAAATGACAACAGAATTAAAAAATTAAATTCATCATACTAAGGGATGCCATCTATCACCTACTAGAAGCTAGGTGTAAGATTTGAGTTACAACTTTAGAACTTGTGCCTGTGTTGGAACAATCTCAGCTGGTGCAACACTTACATGTTAGAAGAGCGTAAACTCTGAAAGTTAGAACTTACATTCAGACTAGGCTGCGTATGAACTTGAGCATAGCTGGTGCAACCCCGTACTGGTCCATCTTACTGAGCTGGTCCCTCATCACATGTGGCCTTTCTCGGCATGTCTGAGTTCTCATTTTCTTGTTTAGTGGGAAACTAAAACATACTGACAACACCAACAGAAACACAAGTTGTAAAGCACTGGTTTTTCAAAGCTGGCTAGCATTCTTAGCCATTTTTGTTGTGCTCTACCTCATGCAAGTAGCCTGGCTGCATAAGTGAATAAATGTCCCAAAAAAGGTCAAATATAAACTTATCTGACAAAATTAAATCTTTGATCTTTACTTTAAATTTCAAATCAAGTCAACGTAGATAGCGTCTCAAGACTTCTTGAGGTGGCGTCCTTCTCTTCACTTCCCGACCACAGCTACACGGTTCTTCCAGTAACACCAACCCTATACAGCCTCGCCCAAACTAAAATACCACATTATGTTATGGTCAGTTCATTTTTGGCCATTGTGGTCAAAGACTTGATGATACAGCTCTTTGAGCTCTTTAATATGTTGTTCACCTGCACCTGAGTTCCTGTTTTATTTAACAGATTTACAGCAGATGTATGGATATCACCAACCAAGTCAGACATTGGACTTATCCACAAATGCAGATTAATTGATTATAAGGTTGAGTAAATTTGGTTTACAACCATTGTTGTCATAGTTGAAAAGTCTGAAAAGGTTTTACAGCCTCCAGTCTCTTGTGTCTTTTGTTATCTAAGATACAAGGTTCAACTTTTGTTTTTAAGACTGTATGTGAATGGGAGGGACAAAATTTTGAAGTTAACAGAACACAATAACCGTTGGCTAAAACAAACAGAAACTTACTTTTTCATAACTGCTCTTTAGACCTGCAGCACCTCTCTCTCCGTCAGTGGAGAGGTAATCATTGATGTGAAAGGGGGTGGAGAAAGAGTCCAGCATGTGAGTGTGTTTGTAGACTTGAGTGCAAGCATGGGAGGCTGTGTTTCTGTGTGAGGGTCTCCTTATGCCTACTTTGATCAAATGTCATACTGAAGACCAGTTGACAAGCTGATTTTTGGGTCGATCAATTAATTAGTCAGGTTAATACTTCACATATGGTACAGTCATGTTGTGTACAAAAATCTAAGCATACAAGTGTTAAAATAAAATATGATAAGTAATCATTAAAGTGGAATAGTCATGGTTAGGCGAGTGGTTGTCAGAGTGACAGTTATGGTATGCCTCTGTAAATTCCCCTTAGGTAACCTTAGTATGTGTGGCTGTGAAGCTGAAAGAGGACAACACTATGTGATTGATTGTCTCCACGCCTCCAAACTCTGGAATGTGTTCATCGACTCCACGTGTCCCTCTGTGTTTACCTTTGGGGTCTGATTGTCCAACATACAGATTGCATAGTTGCATTAAATACTGTTTTTTTATTTAATTTAGCTGTGATTTTCAATGTATCTGGATGTCATGTTATATTTTTTGATTATGATTAATGCAGACACACTAGTGCTGCACTAGAAAAATAAGAAAAATAAGATTCTTTCTGCGATATATTGCAATTAAAAAAAATCACATCAGATCAGAAATGTACGAGGCATGCTAACATTGTTTAATTTTTCAATAATAAATAAATTCTGTAAACAAATGTAAAGCATCCATACGAGCTTTAACTCACTATTTATCTGCCCATGTGCTGCAATGTTTTACACACGACCTGTGTGTCACTCCTGAATCCAAAGAATCCACTCAGTTTGCACCATTTAATTTAAGAGTTGCTGATAGCTAGCTTGAGCTTCATCTGACTACATCGAAATGGTGTGAGATGAAGATAACAGTATTTTACCCATGTCTCCTTGCAACATGTCAAATGTACACATGACAAATATTTGCTTCTTTAAATATTATAATTCCCTTTTATCAGTGCGATTATTTCACTTTTGGGATGTGTTTATTGCTGAGGCCTATATTGCGATAACGTTATTATGAGTTTTATTGTGCAGCCATAAGACAAACCTTCAGTATATTTAAGGGAGAATCAGCAGTATTAGATCCCCTTTTCTCAGCCAATCCCATTGTGGCAAATGTCTGTTAACCAGTAAGTCTGGTACTGCTTAAGGTTTCTGCCTGTTAAAAGGAAGGTTTAGCTCAACACTGTTTCTAAGTGCTTGCTCATAGTGGATTAAGGCTTCACCCTTCTTTTTAGTATATAAAGAAAAAATGTCTATAGACCTGCTCTTTATGTAAAGTGTCATGAGATTACTTCTATTATGATTTGGCACAATAGAAATACAAGTTGGTCGATATATAAAATCCATAATTACAGCAGTATTCCTTTAATATCATAGATAGAATTCAGGATGCAGTTAAAGATTCACATTATCATTTTTTAATCTAAGCTTTATTGCTGCCGATATAATATAAATAAGTGAAATGTGACTTTTTTTAAATTGAGTTGATTTTGATTATGTTTCTATTTATTCTGTTTCATATTGTTCTGTTAAGGGAATATGGGCCAATTAGAAATGTTTTAATATCTTTGTCTCAGCTGTTGCGTTTAGTTTTCCTGAGGGAAGACGTTGCCACCAGCTCAAAACTGTCTTTAATACAAACACAAACACACACACACACACACACACACACACACTCAGATATGAAGATGTCTACATTCATGGATGCACAGTTCTACATGTACACATGAGACAGGATTTCATTGTTCCCCTCCTCATCCCACCGCTGGGTGTAATTGTGCATGGATGTGTGTGTGTGTTTCCTGGGGCCACAGACGCAGACAGTGGCGAGCAGAGGTGGAGTGGGTTGGTAGGGGGTTAAGGGGGGACCAGCAGATGAAGAGAGTGGGGGAGGGCCATACAAAGATGGAGCTAGATGCTATAATAACTGCTTATGGTTCAGTGCATATTTTTGTGCACTTGTCTAGACTGTAGTGGATATAAGAGTTGCATAACCCTGCAGTCCATCACGTCAGTCATGCATGGCAATCAAGTTCCCCATCAGGCTGAGAGCTGGTTCAGAACAGTTTTATTATCAGCTTTGTTTGATTGCTGCATTGTAAGAGGTTGACTTTTTTTACTTCCTCATAGTGTACTCACAAGAAAATAAGCACACAGCTCAGAGCAAAGGCAACATATCTGAACAAAGGTAAGCATAAACATTTAAGAATTATAACCATGCAGATAAACACACAGCATCACTATAGGTATAAAGTAGGCTACATATAGCTGTATGTATACACAAGCATCAGTAGCAACAATGTGCACTGTCTATACTAGTCAAACAATTTTTATAAGTCATAAACATAAAACAATGGTGGAAACGTATAGATTGCAAAGGCTGCTGGGACAGCTATTGAATGATTAAAGCTGGGGAAGGCAGTTTTTCTGGGGTGTCTTTGGTTTGTTTTGTTTGATTCTTGCATGAATCACATTCTCTTACACGAGAAAAAGAAAAGAAACAGCACCCATCATGGTAAACGCCTTTGAAAAAAGCCAACAAAAACTGTAGATGGCTTGCCTGCCTATCTTGGTA